CTCCAAAATCACCCACAAACTAACGCCTATTTCATCACTTACCTACGTATCTATTCTAGGTCCTGGCGTCCAATATAAGCTCATATCCGGGTCAAATTCAGAGAAATTCGTGGAAAACTGCAGAGGGCCCCGTGAGAAGTACCATCCCTCTTGCGTGCCCGGACAGGACTGATGGTACCGCTGATATTACAGGTGCAATACTAATAGCAGGCGCGCGGTGGCGCTGCAATAGTTCTTGGAATTTCACCGGAGACGTCACTGACCCTAGGTCAATGACCTCACTCGGGGGCTTGGTAGATTTGCCCTGATTTTCTCAACTTTGTCGGCAAAATTTCAAAGATCCGTTCAAGTGTAAGTGTTAAACGCAACAACCTTGTTTTCAGTAAGATAATACGAAATTTTTATTGGTGAGCTATTCGTATCCACTGACTTCCAAACTGGGCTGAAGGCGCCTTCCCAGTAATGACGCAAGCGTGACATCATAGTTATTTATGTGACGTAACACTAGATCAACGTTTCTAGAAAACAGATACACTAACCAAGGAGGTTGAATTTAACCTCCTTGCACTAACGTTATGTGACTGTATTCTTTAACATAAATTCCTCCACTGTCTAAATAAGGAATCGACTGGGCTTTCTCTGGCTGACCACATTTGCAACTGTCTTGTGGGCTACTTTGGGTGAGGTTTATGTATGGTTTCACATAAACTTTGTTAATACTTAAATTTTGGTTCTCTTTGCCCAATACTAGGTTCTCATCAAAATAACATGATCATGCACCAGTCAAAGAACTGCAGTATTCACCATATTTTATTGTAGTGATTTATCAGTACATTTTGAGAAGGAAGCTAGAGGCTGGTCCCCAAACATGCTCAAGTACAGTTAACAGTTGGTGAATGTGAGTCCAAAGTGCAATGTATTTCGAGATATTTTATACTGCAGATATTGTGAAGTATTTTGTCTAGCCTCAATGCAAGCTTTACACATTGGTTACCATTTTCATCTCCATGTAGAATAACTTTTTTAAACACTTTATTATCAATTTTCAATGATGACATGACTGCATACTCATAATATCTCCCTTTAACCCTTGTAAAATCATTCACTATCTTTGACATTTGGAACAATTCATCAGGCACAGTAACATCTTGCATTGAGTATTGATACATTATCAATACTACCTAATGTGTCTTCCGGGGCCAGTAGGCTCTATCATACTAAAGACTTTAAGTTTACTTCAAGTTTTTCTAATCATATAACAGTTGTTACACATACATGTACTAGTATAAGTTTAGCTCTCATTATGGACTATGCAGACAATAAAATATGAATAATTTGCAGGGCTGATTTATTCATAATTGAAGAAACAGGACTTTAATTCTTATCTGTCCTATACAAGTGCTAGTTGTACTGTCTTAATTGTCTTCAAATGTTTCTTCGCTGTTCTTCACACGCTCATTTTGCAGCTTGCGGAAGCGGAGGATAACGTCTTCCACGGACCGTTCCCCGTGGACCTTGTTGTCACGAGTGCGTACGTTCACTGTTCCGCTTTCCACTTCCTTCTTCCCTACAACTGTATGGGCAAAAATCAAAGTTAAACCTCTGTGTTGCAGATAGATTGAGAGGTGTGCTATACACAATTTTTGAGATGTGTGATGTTGTGAAGAATAAGAAAGAGCATATCATTTGAAAGGGGTTTGGTTGTTAACTTGCTCCCTGATGAGGTAGCCTTTTAACACAATCTGTACAGGTTATATGGGGTTGGGCAGCAGGAGGAAGGTTAACATCACAGAGAGAAGTTTGTCATACATTGTATATATGTCAGGGTAGAGGTTCCAATCTGGTATCTATTTCTGTAGAGATCCCGACTGGAGTCTCTGTCAACAGAGAATCCAACTGGGATTTCTGCTGATAGAATCGTTCAGTCTCTCCCCTTACATATACAAACAAGAAGATGAAACATTCGGAGTACAGACAGCATGCATGCTAAAGCTGGTTGTCTATAGTGGATACTGTAAATCCATTTAAAAATGCGGTTGGAAATTATAGCGGTCGGCAAAAAATGAACAACCTCACGTCACTTAATTATAGCGGTGTGAGAACATGGCTGATGTGTGTAAAAAAACATTAAAACGCTGGCCTTTTTTTAAGAAAATAAAAAAGCAGTTTACGCCAGCGGAAATCGATTTCTTACAAAGAAAAAACAAAACAGGCACGCCGATGGTGTCTGGAAGTAAATAATTTACAAAGTACTGTAGCGGCGCGGTGACTTCAAAAAGTTCGTAATTACGCACGCTTGTGTTGCGTGCGGCACCGTCGCCCCCCTCCCCAAGCTTCCGCCACACGCTATGCCGCTGCACGCCGCTACATGTCCGGCGCCGCAGACGAGCTTACAGCGAAACCCGGCGTCTTCGCCCTAGGATTGGAGCGTAATGGAATCCATGACGCCCTCGAGAAAGTTCTCCAGACACTGTAGCCCTTAACAGTAACGTTTAATTGTATTTTTTGCCGTAAAAGTTGACTCGCAATTTTCTTTGCGAAAAACTTGTGACGCCATTTTTTTCACTCGACGCTTGGTTCCCGAGTTTTCGATTTGTCTTAGTCGTAGCACGCTAACTCTTTTACATTTTGTAGTACAAATGACGCTTAACATTTGATTGTATTTCTACCTAGATTTCTACCTCGAAAGTAAGCAGATTTATGCCGCATTTCTCGTAGTTTGTAACTCGTTTGTGAAGTTGGCCGCCGGGGCGGCATTTTGTTTGTTGTTGTCTGCACGCTTGGGCGACGCTGAAGTTTGTAACTCGTCTCATTTTTTTCGATCTTGTCCCGAAGTAGCACAAAATGAACGACTATCGTTTCTGTAAATTTATGAAGAAACTTCTAAATCGAAATATACGCTAAATATTTATAAATATCCAAGTGTAGATAAGCTGGGAAATTTCAAAGCGTCACTGCGTCACATGTGTTTGTGCATATTCACAAGATTTTTTTTTACTGTGGTTTGCTTATCACTGCATAATTGTTAAAAATATGAACTACTTTATGTTTAATAAATATTTTATTTCTGGAAGCACATCAGTGTTTTGCTTGTTCCTATGTGAAGCACTAGTACTGTGCGTTGTGTGCATGCTGTAGTCAAGAAATGAAGCGTGGTTGCGATCGTACCGTAACGAGCTTGGGGCAAGAGGGAGGGGGGCGGAAGTGGTAAAAAAAAAGTTGCGATCATGAAAATTTAGCGGTGGAATAGTGACCGCTAAAACCGCTATAATTAAGTGACCGTTATCAAATCAAGAATTACAGTACCACAAGTCCATACCATTGAAAGAGAGGAGGCAGGATATATAGCTGAACAGAAAGGCTAGAAGGAATATTTTCTATGCCATTAGATACAAGAACTCTGGAACAGGTAGTGGCACAAAGCATGAATTTCAAAAGCTATTAGTTTTAATACTATTAACACAGTTGTGTAAGTATTGGCTGGAAGGTACAGCAGTCAATTTCATTTTTTGCCGCTCCAATTATGAGGCATTATACATGTAGCACTACACTTATACTTACGATTTACTTGAACCTATGTACGAATCCCTTTATCTATATAAACAACTTCCTCATCTTTACACAATTCCGTGTATTAAATCATTATAATCATCACAGCTTTATTTTTTTATCATATTTCTTTGTGTTTGATTCAACCTTTGCCCCAAGGTGAAGTTTGACATGACTTGACCTATTCCAGCCCAAAGGCCTCTTCGCTGTCCCTGGTATACTCCACCCGGAGCTTTTTGAAGCGTTGGACAACTGCGTCCACCGAGAACTCTCCATGGACCTTGTTATCGCGGGTACGGACATTCACGGTCCCGTTCTCTCTCTCCTGTTTTCCTACAACTTTTTTTTTTGAGCAGTGACATGTGTTAGGAGATAACTATATTTTTTATTTTCTATTCTACAAGATTAAAGGACAAGAAAAGTAATTTTAGTTTTCAATTTCAGATTTTCTGACATTTTATAGATCTTGAAACTTGTCATAGTTATACAAAGGTATTTGATGACATTACTAGCCATTTAAAGGAATCTGGCACTGGTTGTTGAAAATGGTACAATGATTTTGTCAAGTTATTAAGTGATGATGAACTTTGTTAAAAAATGGTTATTTTTATTTCAGCAAAAAAATCCCTTACCCATGATGAAGTTGTACTGAGCCAGTTGAGCGTTGCGGATCTTTTTGTTCATGGTGTCCCCGGGGTCACAGTCTGCCTCACACATGAACCCGGCATCATGGATGCTGTCTCGGACCTGAGACAACAAACAGTGACAAATGGATACATGACTTGTGTCGTTAACTTGTAGACAAACCTGGCAAAAGGATCACCAAATCGGGGTTGCATAAGAGAAAACGTCATCAATTTCTGTCTAGGACAGTGCTTCTTCTTGCTTCTGTCCTGCATCCTATATATCAGTCAACTTCAGAAATAAATAAACAAATCAGAAGTAAGCTCCAGTAAACCAACACCCACCTTCTGAGCGTACTCATTCTGGTCAGGAGACACAGGAACCACCATGGCCTGACGGGGGGACAGCCAGAACGGCCACTTCCCGCCAAAATTCTCACACAGGATGGCGATGAAACGTTCCACGGAGCCGAGGATGGCGCGGTGAATCATCACTGGACGCTTCTTCTCGTCCCCATCTCCACTGATGGATGGAAGGGGAGACAGATTTTATAGGGACATGGGATATGAAAGACAAAATACAAGTAGAAACTACTTACAAAGCCATACTTACAAGATATCCTTAGCTCTGTCTTCCCAATGTTAATCGTAGTTGGAGTTTTGGCGCAATTTCAAACAGGAATTTGAAAGGGTGAGGGTTTCTCCTTTACGAGTCAACTTGACGCTTTGATGGTGAAAATGTGACAGGTGTAAAACACATTCCCCATCCCTGACATACCTGACGTAGGTGAGGTTGAATCTCTCAGGGTTGTTGAAGTCCAGCTGGATGGTGGCACACTGGTGAGCACGGCGCAGGGCATCAAACACCTGGATATCAATCTGGGATAGAGCGAATAATCTTCATTACTATGTCTAGTAATGGAAACTTATGCTCTAAACAACTTATTGCTCATGCAGGGGGATCTATTGTGTACATGTAAGTATTTGTTTGCTTGAGCTCAAACTTTGTTCACTCAACAATCATAGATGCCACTTTTCATAGAGGTCATGAGGATTTAGTCCAAAGGTATTGTGTTCCCAATAAATATAGATGCCTAAAACAGACATAGGCAGGGCCAGGGGTTATGTGGTGAGACATTGTATGTAACAGTGGTAGTGGTAGTGGACATCAAAAATAAAAATCCAAATGTTTCCCTACCACTCAACCATTTGCAGCAGAAACCAAAGGCAAGAGACTTAAACAAGACTACCTGTGTACTGTGAGAAGTTGATTTCACCAACCTTTGGTCCATAGAAGGCTCCATCCCCAGGGTTGAGCTTCCATGGCATGCCGAACTTGTCTAGAGCAGAGGCTAGATGCTAAAAGTACAACAACAGTACTTCAGACACAAAATGCTAGCTGATACAGGCTAGGAACCATTCTAGTTAGGGTCACTGTATAACACAGCAAGTCATCTTGACAGCTTGGAAACTTTAATAACTTCCGATTGTAAACTTCCAAAAATGTTATGCTGACTCCAAGATGACAAGCTATTTACATATATTACCAATATTTGTTTATTTTTGTTAAATTCATATTGTTTTAAAGAGGACTGGACCAAAAGCAAATACTGTATGCTTACAGAAGCTGTCCCCTCAAGAATATGTCTTTAACAGGTGTTCTGATGCAACGCTGACCAAACATCCAACGAAACAATTCCAGGTTTTGGGCAGGGGCAGTATGTTCTGCCAACATGCTACAGTACTGTACCTTCTCTGCCCTGTCCCAGGTGTCCTTGTCCCCGATGGCCTTCTCTGGTCGTGTGGACAGGAACAGCTTGAGGTCGAAGCCGAAAGTGTTGTAGATGGTCTTCATGAACTCCAGACATCCTTCTATCTCATCCTCCAACTGGGGAAGCATAGGGTCAAGGCAAGTTTTAATGTGCCATTCCAGAAAACTCCTAACACAACAAGTAACAAATCTAATATTGTGGTCAATCAACTTTATGAATGGTCAACAGTATACATCAGCTTTGCAGAATAAATTGATGCAAAAAGTAGTAGCACCATTTTTATTCTTTTTTAAGTTCCCTGCTGTCTTCAATGATGCTACTTTGAAGAATGCAAGGCAGTTTGTAACTACCGATGGTCACCCTAGTGTCTGGGGCTGGTTCTATCATGGACCAGTGTAGCTTAAGTGCAGATAGACATCAGAAATACCTGCACAGCTCCAACTCAGCCTGCACTGTCCTGCATATGTAGGTAGTATTTTGAGTGTAAGCACTTTGAAGCCTTACCTGTTCCATGGTGCAGAAGATGTGTGCGTCGTCCTGTTGGAACCTCCGTACGCGCGTCAGGCCGGTCAGCGTACCTGACAGCTCGTTACGGTGCAGCACACCGAAGTCTGCCATTCTCAGGGGCAGCTCGCGCCACGAGCGGGGACGGACATCGTACATCAGACTGGAGAATTCAACATGCAGGGAATCAATTAATATGCATGCAAATACATCTTGAAACTTACCAAGAATGGTAAAATATACATCCAGCGTTTCTTGGGACAGTTTTGGGACAGAGTCTGAAGAAATATGACTGAATGGATACATATAAATGTTTCAGTGTGAAGGATAGGTGCATTTTTGGCAGTTTTGCTTTTAATCCCCATGTAGCTTTGGTGGTTGATTGTTCCATACTGTAGGCTAGTTCTTGTAACTTGGTTTTGGAACATTTCGAATGCTTCAGGTATGAAGTGATGACCAAAATATGCTAACAAATGGCAGTAAATGCCAATATCAGATTTCCTTATCTAGAAATCTTTTGTGGTGTGGCCCTGAAATTACATGGATACTTTTATACATTAATGCTTTTCCTTCCACCTACCAGTGTCCTGGACAGTTCATGGGTTTGAGGGCAAAGGTCTCCTTCTCTACCTCGAAACTGAACATGTTCTCGGAGTAGTGGTCCCAGTGGCCTGACGTCTTCCACAGTTTCACATTGTACATGTTGGGCGACACCACCTCTTGGAACCCCCGCTTGTGATACTCCTCCTAGTGGAGTACATTGGAATTGCAGGAGAAATTAGTGCTTGAGTCTGACTGTTCAAATATAGTAATGACTAATGTCACCTCCCTTGGCCATATGTATGGCCAGGCAACTCAAATCATACACAGATTTTCAACATTATATATATATATATAGTGTGTGTAAAAGACCGAGTCTTGAGGGCTGCTTTCCAAATTACTGCAATTTCACGATTTTGAAATGTATTTCTATCACTGGCTATTTAATCAAAGTTAAATGACATTGGCATCTGCTTTCAATCTGGTGATCCCTGGGCCTTGTGAAAAAGAAAATGAACTGTATCATTGGGAATGCACAAGAACATTTTTCACAGCTGCTTGACATATATAATACTGTTAATGTAGCATTGTAATATACACAGGGATTAAAGAATGAGTAAAAACTCGGACCCTTACCTTGATGTAGTCTATGAGTTTGTTGTAGATGTGGGCTCCCTTAGGCAGGAAGAAACAACTCCCGGGACTGAGCTCATGAAAGAAGAATAGCTCTTGTTCCTGGCAAGAGAACACAAAAATCCATGGTCAAGTCGCCTACATGTAAAGCTGAATACCAGTCCTATTTCACTCGGCCTGTTTTTAAAAGCTATTGTGTTGGCAAGTTTTTTGTACAATAGAAAGTTTGTTCCACAATACAGGCCCCTGAAAGATTGCACAATTGCTTGTTGTACATGTAGATGAATTCTCCTACCCTGCCGATCTTGCGATGGTCCCGTTCCTTAGCCTGCTCCTGGAACTCCTTCCACTCCTTCAGCATCTTGTTGTCGGGGAAGGAGATGCCGTAGATCCTCTGTAAGGACTCCATGTCCGCCTTACCCTCCCAGTACGTGGACGAGTTCTGGAAAAATCAAAAGAACAGAGGTGATACATTTGTACACCACATCAGCATCTTACTGTCTTGATGAGTTCTGTTGGAAAGGATATGTAATAGTTAAAATTATTCTAGGACTAAATACATATGTACATTTCCCTTATGAAACAGGCATTTTCAGCAATATGTTGAAATATAATATGGCAATATAAGTGGACTGGCGGGAGAGGGTTTGGGACCGGGAACTACATGAACTCCCGACATGATGATGATGATGATAATATGGCAAACAGGAGGCCACTACTCACATAAGGTTTTAAAAGGGGACATAGGAGTACAACCTGAGAGTTGGAGGAATTCTGTGTTGGAGAAACTTCTGGATAGCTGTAATCAAAATGTGGAAGCATAAACAATCACGTCTAAAGCAGAGTTTTATCCTCACTTTGTGGACGTGCAGAGCCTTGATCTTTCCGGTGTGTCTGACGTGCGGCCCTCGACACAAGTCGATGAGAGGTCCACATCTGTACACCGTGGTGGTAGGCGTGGTCACCTTCTGCTCCAGGATTCGCACCTTGAACTTGTTGTACTACAGAAAAAAAAAGAGGAAAGTGTTGGAGGGTCCCTCATGTTCTTGACATTCCTTCTGTACCCGGAAGTAGCTAACAAGCAAACAAACAAAAAGATAAACTAACAAAACATCAAATTCTGCATCTCAATGTAGTTACCATGTTGTAGTCTGTGCAGGGTTTCATCTTCACTTGACTATGAATAGAATGGATTCAAAATGTCTGTTAAGCTGAGAAAGTACCCCAGACTTACAGCAAACATTTTGAGAAGATCCTCCTTCTTCATCTCCAGTCTTATGAAGGGTTGTTTCTCCTTCAGGATGCTCTTGGTCACTGTCTCCAGGGCTGGGAAGTCATTACTGGACACTTGTCTGGGGAAGGATTCAAATGTAACCGTCAATGTCTTTAGTTCCCTCACTATTTCCAGCACTATTATGTCTCAGAAGGTTGCATTCTTACAAAATTGCATTCTTACAAAATCAGTTCTGTTTTTGCATTCACTGGCAAGAAGTCCAGTGTATGTGTGGATGTCTCTGTAGTAACTTCGTAAGTTATAGCTGACAGGAACAATGTTAAAGGCACAAACCTTCCCTCTAAATGCATGTCGTAGTAGAACCCGTCCTCGATGGGAGGTCCGTAACACAGACACCCCCCGTAGTGTCTCTCCATGGCCTCCCCGATGATGTGTGCGCTAGAGTGCCAGTACACCGCCTTCGCCTCGTCGTCGTCAAACTTCAGGAACTCCACCGAGGCGTCGCCTTCGAACGGTCTGTCCAGATCCCACACCGCACCGTTCACCTTGGCCACGATAGTGTTGTCTGCCAGACCCTTGCTGAGGGAGGAAGGAAGAAACATATGAGTCTTAAAAAGTTAAGTCCCTGTCACATACTCAAAACCTTCCCCCGTCCACCAACTGACCAAGGTTGGATGAAAACAGAGATTCGGTTGAAAATTCCGGTGAGTCAAAATTTCTTGAGTTGGAGAACATTAATTTTTCATTATTTAAACTACCAACTGAACTGCTATGCTAAAATATTGGTAATTACATGTTTGTGCAGAGTAGGAATGAGCAGCGTGGTTGGCTAGTAGTAAAGCCACATTGTACTTTTTAAGCTGCTTGAAAAAGCATTATGCTTCACCACAGTTGAGAATGACTGCTCTACCTTGAAGTTTACTTCCTAGGTTGGAGTTGAGAAATGTAGATGTGCATGTACCTGATAGAAGTGGCTATATCCAGGGGGGTGGTTCGCCAGGCCTGTCCATCCAGCTGTTTGCCATCGGGGAGCGTCACCTTGATGGGTGTTGGATCCTTGGCTGGAAAAATGTGATGAAATTGTTTTATGTCATCAAAAACCTTTTTGCAAAAGGTGCCTACATTCAAATACTACCACAGTACCAGCCAGAAGAAATGAGCTACCAGCATCTTTGAAAACCTCTTTACGACAGGCACCCAGATTCAAATGCCATATCTGCAGCTTTTGTAAAATGTATCACAAAATGAATTCCTTACAGATTTTTTGGCCTCCTAATTTGCATCCTTTTTGATGCTTAAATGTGACTTTACCCTACTGGCTTCTGGCCAGATTTGAAGACATTTGACCTCCTCTCATTCTTCACCTATCCACACGTACGCATGTTGTCAACCTACTCTGCACACACAGATACTCCCAGAAACTCAGCCATCCAAAATAAAACTCCCGTACCCAGACGTAGCTGTATATACATGTCTTACTAGTATGTTAATGCAAATACTTGAACCTGAATACATCATAAATCAGTGTATGGATTCTTCTGAGTGGTACTGTGACTCTCCTACCTGCCAGTTCATCCTGGTACTCCTTGTATAGCTTGTCGAACAGTTCCACCCTCTCTTGAAGGTACGCAGGTGGGGGGTCCATCTGGTAGAAGGATAAATAGAGTACATCGATATCATAGTTAGAAGGGGCCTTCCAGTTTGTGTGGTCAAGACTCAAAAACAATTTCCTCAGCAATGCGCCAATAGGCCAATCAGTAATTCAGAGCTATCCTTCGAGTAAAGCCATGTTGAACTTGGTGTCACGATGTAGTTGATAACAGATTAATGCACCAGTAGTTAATATGTATAATGTACATGTCTACATGACACTTGTGATTACTATTTAGCTCAAACTGACTTTTTGAAAGACTTGGCAAGGTTCGGAGAAATAGCACACACACTATGATGTAGTAAGGGTACTGAAGTACTAGTTATGGGTTCCTCACTGGCCGCCCAGTGCAGAACTTACGGGGAAAATGGCGTCAGTACTTGGGCCCTGTTCGGAAGAAAGCTCCACACAGGAATTCTAGTGCTGATCCACTGCTGAATCTCAATCAAAACTGGAATTCTGGAGCTGAATCTTGACTCAGCACTGGTTTTCCAGTCCTGAACTTGGGTGCCAGTGCTCAGAGGCCGTTCACCACTGAAGTACCTAAGTAACGGGTTCTGCACTGGATTTTCCAGTGCTCTGTGACTTACTCTTCTGTTGCAGCTATGATAACAAAATACAGCTTACCTCCAGGGGAAACCCCCCTGCATCCACACCCCCCTTGCCCTTCTTCTCCTTCTTCTCTTTCTTCTTACCCTGCTGTGCAGGGGGCTGTAGGGATACATAACAAGGTCAGAATGTCATAGTCATTTTATTATTATATATATTAGACATATACGAGACACTGATCATGAACTCCATCTGGACCTGGACTTTTGATCAAGTCCAATACCAACAACTCCTAATTGTGACACATTTCATGGATGACACCTGGTTGAACAATACCCCCCCCCCCACACACACATGCCCTTCA